CGAATTAAAAGCTATATTTTCTTGTAGAATAGATTATATTACCATGTTACTACTTAAGCTTAAATGAAGTGAACGCTTGTTTTCAAAAGTATCTACGGTATTTTCAAACTTAGTAGATCTCTAATATATATACCCGGTAAAAAATTTTTTATATATACTTATACACAAATTAAAATAATTATATCTAATTACGCAAATTTATATGCCGAATATGTCCATACAATTTTATACACGAAGGATTTCTTTTTTTAAGAGAATGGCTTCAGAGATATTCCATATCAAATTACAAAATAACTCCATTAGTATCATGTTAGATACAAAAAAATTATATAAAACTATATTTTTACTATATTTTTAAGAAATTGTTGATATGTAATCATATATACTTATACACAAATTAAACTTATTATATCTAATTATGCAAATTTATATATACCGAATATGTTCATATAATTTTATACATGGAAAATTTTTTACCGGATATATATGTTGTAAATCAATTGGTTGCTTAATTTTCAATAAAGAAGCTGATATTCTTAAATAATGATAGATAACTAGTAGAGGATATATTCGCGATTTATTCTATATAAAGTTTTGTAAACATGTTATTACTTTATTTAATAACATATTATGATTTTAGTGTAGAATGTTATAAAAAAATAAAATAAAACTTAAATATTAAATGATTCCTCCTCCTAAATGTTAAATAATTCATTCAATAAATTTTGTAAGAGACACATTTGCGTACAATTTCGAGATACTAAAATATTGAAGACACATTTACACAGCTCTCACAATTTTGAACAAAATTTGCTACTCATTATGAATTAAGTTACAAAAGAGACACATCCTTTGTTTCTTGATTTTGTTCATTAATCACCAAGCATTTCAGAAAAGCGCAATTGTATAATGCAAGAATAATAACCGGATAATCATGAATAAACGAGCCATTAATCATAAGCAGATATAATTTTACTTGCCAGACTGTACCACACGAATATGGTCGCTGAGTGAAAATCCTAGCGCGCAAATTTCCCACCCGGACTGTACCGCTTCAACTTCAATCGAAAGCTCTCACTAACGTGAATACGAATGTCGGAAAACGCAGCAAATTTTGATCGCGCGCGACGATTAATCTGTTACAATGATCGTTCGACAGTTTCCGCGGCGCTTCAAACACATTTTTGCATGCGATGTACTTTTGTCCGATAAAAAAATGCGAAAAACACAGAGCGATTTCGACTTCAACACACACTACTCATCTGGCGCGAAACTAACATGGCGTGATGCGAGCGCACCGCTACGCGATTGGTCGTTTCAAATATTTTGAAAACACTTATAAGAAAGTGTGAGATCCGAATTCGAAAAAAAATTGCTTGACAAATTATAAAAGGTTTGAAAGGATATATACAATAAAAATTTAAAAAATATAACAAAATATAAAATATTGGAAATGGTTTTTAAAGATTTTTAGAAAAGTTAATCTTAGAATTAATTTTTATGTCAAAACATCTTGATTTTTTCTCCGTTAAATATCTATACAGTAAGTATTTCTTATATAAATATAAAAATGCTTTAGAATTCTTTTATATAGAATCTGAAAAATTTTGACCAAGCCAAAGTGTGAAAGTAGATTTAATTAATACCTGAACCGAAAAGTTATGTATTATTTTGCAAAATTCGCAATAGTTGTTAAGTTGGTTAAGTAATACAAGTGATCTAATGCGTGGGAAGCGATGGTCCGGACTCTGGCTCTGTTTCTTTTTTTTTATTACTGGCAATATTGAAATATGGCTATAGGTTCACGTTACGTATTCTATAGATTTTTCAGTATTGCCAGAAACCAAACAGGATCTCTGTAGGCGTGTATGATTTTCAGTTTTTCTAAAAAAAAAGCAGCATACTTCATGCAATCTCCTAACAGTAAGAAGCAGAGCAAACAAGCGAGTGGCGTGTGACACAGTTTCTCGCGATCATCTAGTTTTTACAACTGAAAATCATGCACGCCTACAGAGATGAGAAGTCCGGACTTTTGAATCATCGCTTTCTACGCGTTCATTGGATCACGTGTATTAATTAGTCACTCAATAGTTATTGCAAAATTTGCAAAATAGTACATAATTTCTCTTTTGTTCCGTCCAGTGAGGCTGATGATGATCTAAAAAATAAAGATCGAAACGTTCCACTGATCTCCGTTTGGATTCAATTTGAATTTATTCAAGCCACCTCAATCTTGGTCATAGCCGGAAGGTCTATTTTCACTATTTCATAATTTCTCTGTTTGGATTAATCCAATCTATCTTTACACTTCGGTTTGATCAAAATTTTTCAAACAATCTGTGTACATATACGTATACAGGATGAACCATTTAACTTGGCACAACGGAATATCGCGAGAACTATGCATTTTCCAAAAAAAATGATTCAGACAAAACTTGCTCATTTGCAATTGAAACGAAAATGTTATAATAAAAAACAAAACAACTCTTTTATCTTGGACTATGAAGGTCGGATGAAAAAAAAAAATTCAAATAAAAGTTGTTTGTTTTTTTACATAGAATAAGATGTCGTAAAGACAAATAGAAGTTTCCATTAAAAAAAAAAACAAGTTGATCTTGAAAACGTCCACTAACTCAAAAAATCGGTGACGCCATTTTGTTTCCTCAAAACCAAGCAAGTTTTGTCTGAATCAGTTTTTTGGAAAATGCATAGTTCTCGCGATATTCCGTTGTGCCAAGTTAGAAATAGTTCACTCTGTACATGTATACACACGCACACATATATACATATGCATATGTGTCTATATATAAAACAATATACATATACATATATATAAACAAAGAAAAAAGTAAAAATGAAGAAAAACAATAATTAAACACAACAAAAAAGATGCACGTTATTGAATGAACAAAGTTAGAAGACACGCAACAGGAGTGCGAGCGCGAGAAATGGTACGGGAATGGGATATAAAAGAAAAAGAGAAAATCGTTGGTGCATTTGAGAGTTAAATGGACCGTAGACAAAATAAACAGGAACGGAAGAAATTTCCAACCATCGCACTCCCCGATGCCGCGGAGAAATGAGAGAGGGAATTTTCGAGTAATACTTTTTGTCTTGCCTTACGCCATCGACTCTTTCGTTCCTTTTTCTCTTTTTTTTTCTCCTACCCCTCGACCTATTCTCGCATCGCGAGAGAATACTTCCGAAGAATTTTCCGTGACGTGGTCTCGCTGGTACCTCGAAGGAAATCTCTTAACGCGATCAAAGTTTTCCTCGAGAAAATCCTTCGAGAAGTCTCATCCCCGAGTTCAAAGGTAAACCTTTTACCCGAGACCTTCAATATGGAAGCCTCTCGCCTCCGTTACATTTCATTCAGTTTTCTCTGCTCCTATCGGCCCGAAATACTCACGCGTACTATCTACGTTTATGTCTGTATCGTTATGGTTTTTGTTCAAATTTGAGTGTGCTGAACGACATCATCTTGAAATCAGTGATATCACTCTTAAATATTGTGTGCGTAAAGATTGTGAAAACTGAAAATGGAAAGAAAAAAAATTGAAGATTCGAACATGATGCAGATTTTAATTAACACAGACGTAAAATTTATTCAAAAATAAAATTAGTTTTAGAAATTGAGTCTCAAATACTTGAAAAAAAAAAGAAACTTTCATAAATTAATTAAATTTTTGTGCGTATATGTGCAAAGAGAAAATTCTCTTTCTAGAAGCAAAAGCAATTTTCAACAATCAATATCTCGAACCATTTGGAAATAAAACAAAATTCTGAAATAATGGAAAAATGAACGATAGAGAAATGACGAATAGATAGACGACTGTTCTGAAAAAAAAAAAAAAAAACTAGAATAATGTGAAAGGTTTATTTTTTGACTGAATAAAAAACAGTTTATTTGCTCCATTATTTGTCTTTTAAGACACAAAGTTAAATGCATACAAAATTAAGTATATGTTGTAAATATTTCAATTTCAATATAAAAGTGCAATCTAGTGCAAGTTTCAGAATGTAAATAGTTTTACATTAGTCATAGAACATTGTTTCAGCTTATTAGTTTAATATAATGTTTACATAAACTATGCATTATTTAATTCTATTTTACGAACCGAGTACATCACATATGCAGTACTCTATTATAATAATTTAAGATTCTATAAAGTAATAAATAGATACTAAAATACTTTTTAATCTAGTCTTTCTCGTAGTAAAGAGTGTACTTGACACTCAATTCATAAAATATCAAGATGATCACCTAGCAGATACATACATACATATATATGTGTACGTTACAAACACGTGTACGTTACCAAAATAATACATAAATATCAATAAGCACGAAAATAGATGAAATTGTATGGGAAACAATAATAAATTAAACTCTTAAGTAATTAATTAACCGAATATTCACGCAGAAATAAACACATCATTGAAACCTCTGCAAATATATAGATCTAAACACTATAGTAGCAATTATATATTGCATTTTGATGTAGTTAATAAATGAGAGCGCAAATCGATGGAAAATTTATGAAACTGCAGCGAACCATATTCCTCCTTCACACAACACATACATTCGTCGGTGTGTATCAATAATTAAAAAACAAATATAAATTATATATATATATATATATATATATATATATATACATATATGCCTGGATCGCAAATTAAATGTTTTATGTTGATGTATCTCTCTCTTTAAGAGAAAAAGATGTGTTACATTATATATTAAAATATTTAAATATATCCCAAGCATATAAAAATCGTATAAATAAATTTACGCTACATCCTTGTTTTACCACCAAGATCATCAAGATTAAAACTTTGTCATTAACACATGTTAAGTTGTTTATAATATAATACTAGTTTTTATTCTTACTTTACAACAAAGAAAATACATAATAATATATAACATACATATATAATTCAAAATATAAATAATATATCTTTTTTCTTTGAAGTGTAATTAATATGAAGTATTATATATATAAATATAATTAATATGAAGAGCTTAATTATTTATAAAGTTACTTTATAAATAATTTCGTGCATACGTCATAATTTCATTTCTGCTATAAAACAAGGATTTAACGTACAAATATTCTTACATCACGATTAGAAGTAGAATTATCACGATTAGAAGTATAATTACGTTAAATGACAATCTTATATACGACTAATAACTGAATACAATATAATCTTTGGTAAATTTCTATGGCAGTATTCGTTTCTCTACCAACGCGGAGAAGTTGCCGTTGCAGCTTGCTGATTAATTATGGATGGTCCGCTATGTAGTAATATAATAAAAATTATTATATTAGTTATTTAGCACAAATAACTTCAAAATATATATATATATAAATATTGTGATGTACTTGTAAATTTTACAATTAAACTCTCACCTCCAAGCGATGAGAGATGCTAGTCGTTCAGTCAATCTTTGGTAATTTCTTTCCAGTTCCCGCTGATAGTCCCTTTGATCGGGGCCAATCAGATTCTTGTTGCGTCGTAAAGCATCGAGACACTTCTTCTGGAAATCTTTGAAACATAAACGAAGTTTGTGCTGCAGTCTAGTGGGTTGTGCATTCTGTTCGCGTAAACCAGACAGAAACACGACCGCTACTTCGGCAGGTCCTTGATTGACAGTCGTGCCAATGCAACCTTGAAGAACCATCTGCAGCATTTTTGCATCAGGTGGTTCTTGAGCAGTTGCTGCAGCTACCTAATTATGATATACATACAAATATATTAAATTATATGTACAAGAAAGTACAATATTTAAAAAAATATGAATTAAGTGTTACTTCGGCAGTTTTCTTTTGTATATCTTCAATCGCTACTTCAATGGGACTCAAAACTATCTGCTTCCGAGCTACAACGCGAATTCTAGTTTTCAGATACGGAAAATGCGTTGCTACAGTTAATATTGTCTTCCTTTTGCACTGTTCACGTAGCTCACCATGAGCTTTGCCGCCAGGAGTGAAAGGAGTCGCGTAAACAAATCGTTCTGAAGCAACATTGCAAAAATTAATAATTCAGAAAGTGCTAGAACAATAACAAAATAATTTATTTCTATAAATACACACTTATATTGAAATTTCGATGAAAGACTGTGGGTCTATGTCTGAGCTCGTGTGCTTCAAAATACGGTTCTACATAAGTGATTTGTACATAAGCCTTGTCCGGCTCCAGTTTACTGGGATCAACAGGGTTAGAATCTTTTATTATGACAATATTGTCTGCGCCGAATCGCTCGGCATAAAAGTTCTCGAGTCTCGAAAATATCTCCGGGAGTTTCGTTAACGTCGGTTCTTTGTAAACAAATTCTTCGCCAGCGAGATCGCCAAATCTAGCGCCGTAGAAACCAACTCTGAAATAGGTTCCGAAAACGCGTTTGCCGGCCAACTGTTCCACGCGCGTGTACGCTTCGTGAAGTTTACTAAACGTTAAAAACAATATTTTAATTAATAAAATTCAGTTTTCACTTAAATTAAAATTTAAATAATATTAATATAAATTAAATAATTTAATAAAATTTTTAAATACCTAACATAAATTCTTAGAGTTTTGTCAACTACAACACATCGAGTTTTTTCTTACCCGTGTATGTTAGCCAACTTCTTGTAATCATGCGCAGCTTCGGCTATAGGCAACAGAACTCTGTAAACGTCAGGAATAGCTTCGTACATGCCAGCTGCGTGAAAAGAGCTAGCCGCATGCTCCAATAATCCTGCTAATCCACTTTCGGAAAAGTCGGGACCTAAACAAAGTCCTTCTTCCCTTCTTGCTAGTACGTCGTCGCCGACAGCGCTTTCTTCTAGAGCGTTCGGTGTTACGGCGCTCAAAGCAACAGCTCCTACAGGTCGGCCGCCACCACCGGGTTCCAATAAATGAAGATATTCTGCTACCAAAGCAGCACTATGTACTAAGCACATTGCAGCTTCTGTATGATTTTTTCTTTCCATATGCTGCTGCGCCATGTTTGCGAGCCAAGTCAGTCGAAGATCGGGAGATCCTTGATATCCTTTGGCAATTCTGTGCAAAATGTACAGAAATGTTGATAAGATATATATTTCTTCATTCTCAGTGTATATATATATATATACTTTTAGAAAAATAAAATCATTATCATCTTTAGTTAAAACTTACCTGTACATTAGATCTAACAGCATTTCGGGATCCTCTTGAAATTCTTTCATTTTAACAGTATCGGAAAGAATCATATGGAGATTAAATAGGAGATCTTTTACTTGTTCAGGAAAACTTGTGTCCGCAAGTTCCGTGTCTCTTTCGGCGTATACTAATACCGTTTTCAACGCTCTGCGTAATGCTCCCTCACTAGGAGCTCTTCCTCTTCCAACGAGAGCGGATAAAGAGGTTGTGACTTGCATTTTGACACGCGCAAAATTCTGAAAAAAATATGTTAAAAGTAATTCTTCCTTATATATATATATATACACATACACACAATATAAAATTAATATTAACAATAATTATTATTGTTATTATTATTATTATTATTATTATTATTTTATAGCTTACATTTCCAATTTCGAAATTCTGTCGCATTAGCAAATACAGACTCGCAGCTGCGTAACTTCTAATAGCGCTCAAGGGCGAGCTACATCGTGTAAGCAAAGTTAAACATAAATCTCCACAACGCTCGCTTTCTTCGTCAAACAATGCGCTATGATACTTGAAGACTAAAGCTCGCTGTGTATTGAACATATGCTGAAGCACTGATGTACTTTGATTTCTAGCCAGAGCTCGTAATAGCACTTTTAAAACTGCTCCGACAACTGCACCTAATTTCAAACACGTTGTGATCCGTTTACTTTCAAGTTTGCGAGAGAATAAAAAAATGAATAAATACCTCCACCGCCATCAGCCTGAACTACAGATTCCAAAGTGTCTAATACGACAAGAGAAGCTTCAGCCGCTAAAGCTCCTTCTATGTGAGCGTCTTGTTCCACAGCTCTTCCTTCCGGTTGTTCGCAAGATCTTAGAAAGAATCAATATATTTAATATTAATGTTAATATTAAAAAATTAAATTAAAAAACATAATTTTAATTTACCTATAAGGCATTTGGTCTTTGCGCCATCTTAATTTGTCGCCGGTTATTCTCTCTTTTCGTCGAAGCATCATTTCGCTTCTGGCACTTCCCTGACCAAGAATTACATCTTCCAGTCGAGATCTAATATCACTCGTGACTGCGGCTTGAGGCGGTAATCTTTTAAGCGCTTTCTTGCCTTTGTACTCGAAAGCCGCGGTGGCGATGTTCAGCACTTGCAGCAAGCTTAGGATACGTCGCGCACTGAGCTCAGAGCACCACTGTGCTAATGCGGTTCGCTCCAAACCCTTGAGTACCCATAAGACACACATTAACAAGTGTCGAGTGGCTTCGGAGCTCAAGGACACACGACATTGATTGCCGGCCGTGTCTGCCGACGCTCCGCCGGCAATGGCCAGAGCTACCGATTGCGTGATTGATCCGGATTCGTCCGAATAAACGCTTTTGTCTTTTGAGTCCCAGTGATAAAGCTGGGGTAAGGCATCCATTAGAATACTAAGCAACGGTAGATACAATGCGGCAACTCTGGCTTTCGCTGCAGGATCGGAATATCGCGAATCGGCGTCGTGGCAACTCATAAGATGCCGAACGGTTCCGATAGCCTTATTCTGCAGCATCGGATTTGGTATCTCCAAGGTGTTTGCCAAATCAGACAGAACAATACCAACCAGGAAATGCTGCTGCCTGAATTCCTGGCTGAGCTCTGAGAATCTGGCTTTATCTCCGGGCACAAGAGTAGAGATCAGACTGCCCGAGCTGCCGGTCGATGGACTGGGCGATGCCGGGGCGGATCCTGATGTATACCCTGTGCCAAAGGGAAGATTCAATGCTACGTAATGTTCATGGGAGCACACCGTTCTCACAAGATCAAGTTTCAAGGCAAACAACGCAGCCGAATCGGGAATATGCATTGATGCGTCTGACAAAGAGCAGCAAGCGGCGCGAAGAAGCGAGAGCACAAATCCTCGGTCCATCACGGATAACAAATCAGACAGGAAATTGCCCAGACTCGATATCAAGTTAGACGCCACACGAATTTCCTTTCCGCAACGCGATATCACTTCGGATGTCAAGGCGGCAGTAAGAGTAGCAACGTCGTCACAAAACTGCGGTGAGAATCTCAGCTTTCGTGGAGCTTCCAAGGAGCCCACCTCGGACAACGTGACGACCATCGAGCGTACTATCAGCTCCAGAAAGAACCAGGAATGAATTATCGCTAATTCGCGCGCTTGGCCGGTAGATACAACCCAGTGTAAGGCGAGTTCCTCGTGCAAAAGTCTTCTGGTAGTCTGATTGTTGATTGAAGGAAATTCCTGTCGCATTGAGGCGGTTCTATCTAATCCTCGCGAATGGATTTCCATCTCCAAGTCTTCCAAAGGTAGATCAGGATTGCTTTGTGCTCGCACAACACCTCCGCCGTGAGTCATGCTTGGCAGAGAACATTGATAAGCGATGTAGGTTGCTAAAAGTGCGTGTCTTCCGTGCGCATCCAACTGGCCATCCGGCAGATTGGTGATATTTCGTACAAGAAGTCCTAGAGCTTCGAAAATTGTGGCGGCTACATTTAGTGACTGAGAAGGTAAAGTCGGTGGACGCACTAAAAGGCACAGCAATTGATCCAATAACTGGGGAAGAGATCGCACCAAGGCAGAATGCGAAGCGCGAGCTAGTTCGAGAAGAGCTGATTTTAATTCGGATTCCATTCCCGCCTCACCAATACGAGGTGGAACTTGACCAGTTTCGAGAAAGCCGCATAATGATAAAAATCTATAAAACAAGAATCATACAGATCATACACTATACTTACTTCTTTTTTTATTTATACTTTTTTTTAAACAGAGTAAAAGATAATATGTGTTCAACAAAGAATAAAATATGTGTTAATACCTGTCAATATATTTATCTTGAGGATGAACGCTGGAAACAGGCTCCAGTATAACAGTGAAGACTCCACGATGAGCGTCCACCCATCGAGTGCCTGGTAGAAGAACGTCGGGTGCAATATAAGAATAATTTGCAGGCGGCGGATCCAACATAGCAGGCAAGCTGAATTCGCCTGATTGAAGATGACCATCTCTTAAAAGCGGGAGCCACTACAAGTAACAATTTCGCACATAATTGTATTACTCTAGGTTCAAATTCATAATTATTAATGACTGGATTTACCGTATAAGCAACCGCCGTTTCGACGTTTGGTTGTTCCGCTTTCTTCTGACAACTGATATGATAGAAAGTAAATAACAAGTGATGTTTAGCGCTTAAATCCGCAGGCAATCTCATCTTAACTTCATCGTAAAAGCTTGGATTTTTATTGTGATACGATACGGAAGTAAAATATTCATGTGTCATTTCGGGACACGACGATCTACCAAAAATAGCTGTGAGCGCATCAGCTTCTTGTTCACCTCCCATGAGCTGAATTCGCACGGCAATATTACGGGCTGAACCCGTTCTAGAACTGAAATTCGCTTCCTACAAACAATAAAATTTAATTTTGGTGTTGTAAAATTAATGAATAATGTTTCTAATGATCATGAAATTTTATTTCACACATACTTTGGGATAAAGATATAGAAGATTACGGTACGTTAAATCCGGCGAAACAATTTCACTCGGAAACTCAAGTATTTCTTTGACCGGTCGACTCTTTTCATCCGGATAAGGAACTAATTTCCTGAGATCGGGATCGAGACACCTAGGCAGATCTTCAGGTTTAGGACTGAGATCCAATTTCAATATTCCCGGTAAACATTTCAATCGCTTCAAATTAGAACCAGGTCTTCGCAGTTCGACTAAAAGTTTATAAAGATCTTCGTCACGAAGTCGTTCACTTTCCTGCTTGAAAAAACTTGAAACAGTTAAAGTGATGGGTCTGCAAAAAAAAGGAGAGAGAGAGACAGAGAATAACATATTATTCAAATTGTTCAATATGAATTTTCTTTACAGATTTATGAATTATTATACAAACCTGAAACTATCAAGACAATTGGCAAAATCATCCGGAGACCAACTGCGTCTTTTATCCGAGCTTCGTCTTTCCAGCGATCCTCGTCGCGTCGGTGGTTCCACTTTCTTTCGCCACTGTTCCAAACTGCCCGATTTTCTATCTAAAGATCCAGCGCTGCCAGTACTATCCGTGTCGCCACCACCTCCAATTACACCGGACAGATGAATGGCAGTCCACGCAAGAGGCATTCTGTAACGACCCAAACGATCACATGCAGCAGCTGCGGCAGCTTTAACCTACAAACCAGAAATAATAATAAAAAACAAAAAACATATAAATTATAGTTAAAGTAATATGGTTGTATCTTATTACCTTGTCCTTATTTTTATCTTCGCGCAAATATGGTTCAGCACACTCCGAAATATCGCCTTGCAACACTTTCTCCAGTCGCACAACGAGAAACAAATCAGGACTAGGTTTACTAATGCTCAGAACGCAACTTCTAGCTAAAGTACTCGCATCGCTGTAAGCTATGTGATTCACAAGCATTCTTTTCAATCCCTCAGAATTCATATCGACATAGAAATTTTCCGACACCTAAAATTTAACATTTTTATTAACATTATAATTATAATTTTAATTAATAAAAAAATAAACTATCATATATACCTTTTTCTTTTCTCTAGCATCATATAATGCGAGGATGGCGAATATAGGCTCCACTTCCAATTCCAACTTTAACTGCAGACATTTTACAAGAATTTTATGAGCAAATGGTTCGGTAGGTTCGGGAGCAACACTAATTTCTTGCCACTCGTCATCCGGAGAAGTCGGAGGGGCATAAAGTGGAAATAAGGCTTCCTGAAACGAAGATTTGGTCAAACTATATAAATATTTGCAATATTTGCCATTTTACGATCTTTTACCTGTCGATCTTCTAATCTCTTTTCCTCGTTCATCTGATCGATTGTTTCGAGACAAACGCGATCTAATAAACTTGGCAAAAGTGGATCATGTTGTGAATGTCGCAAATCCAAACTTGCCCAAGATCCTCTTGGAGTGTCACCGCAATTAGACAAATCGTCATCCTCACTTGGTGATCCACAACCATTTGCATCTTCTTGGTCTACCTAATTTGGATAAAGACTAATTATAGAAATATAAATAAAAATTATTTCTCCTTTTCGTAAATAATATTCATTACAAAGTTATTAAAACAGATTAATTTCTTATATCCATCATTAAATCATTGAATACCTCAAAATCTTGTCTAGGAGTATCTTGAAGCAACCTGTCTCTAGCAATAGGTGAGATTCTTCCTTTATATTTACGATGTATTACGACCCAGTCTGATGTAAAACTTTCAATACATCTTTTTACATAAGGTGACACGGTGTCTCTGAAAGCCAGATAACAATATAGACATAATAAAAATTGTTGTACTTCAAATAATAATTACATTAAATTCTCTTGATTTGTGCTTACAATGATTCATGTGGAATTACTGGCTCTTCTGTACGAATCTTTCTATTTATAACTCTCAGCTCAACATCTCCTGGTGGAAAATCCAATATTGGTTTTAAAGGATCACGATCCAATACTGATTGGTGTTGTGTTAAGAAGTCTTCATAATCAAGTGGTTCTAATATCTCACATAAAGACATCTGTACAAAGAAAATTAAGTGTTAATTCATTCTAAAATTGTAGAGAAACTGTGTCTCTTTATATATATAATTTTTTTTGAAGAAGAATTTATATACCGTAGATGAAAAGCCTGATATACTGCTACCACTTTTGGACAAATCACGCGAATAGGAAGTAGAAGTGGCAATTTGCCGTCTCACATCAGCAGCATGTTGTTTGCTTAATTTGTGAGCAAATGCACGCTGAACCGAAGACATTATAAATATCTCAGTAAAATACTCTGAGAATGTGTGGAAATATTCTAGAACAAAGAAAGTTTAGCTAAATAAATAGCTAAGTAACTTACTATTTAATCTACAAGTATAGTCGCATAGTCGCACATTTAATAAATGTGTGTATGTACATATATGTGTGTATATGTGTATGTGTGTGTGTTTCAAGTTATATTTAATAATAAAATAAAAGAATACAAATAAGTAGAAAGATTATTATTGAAGTATATTTACGATATGCACAAGAAAGAGGAACAGAAAGAAAGAAAAACAGTGTTTTAAAGTGAAGCAGAAATTATAATGCTACATAGTGCTAAAAACTTGCAAGTTACAAGTTAAAACTTATGACAATACGTACTAACGTTAATTCGAACTCATCGAAAACAGAACAAATAAAAATGCTCAAGATTCACTAACAAAATTTCACTGATTTTTCGATATTTGCTTTGAATCTTGACTTGTCTATCTAACGAATGAATTCTCGACACTGACGTTTCTTTATGCCTCAATGTCGTAAATGTCAGTTCGATCCGAAATTATTTTGTAGCATAATGAGCTATTCACTATCATGTTCACTACTAGCGACACAAATTGTACAGGCCGTATATTCCAAGTTCCAATATTCACTGCCAGTACTAAAAATCTATACTCACGTCACATGCTACCCTTAAAGATTTACAGTACTGACAGTGAATATCGCAGCCATTGTATGATAATATAGAAGTCTATTATCATACAATGATATGTGACAATTTGTTATCATACAGCGATATGATGATATTGATTGGCGTCATTATCGTAAAATATTTCTGCCTAATCTAACCTAAGTGTATGCTTGAATGACAGCTGTAAAATCATGTAAAATGATAAGCAAGGTAGGTGGATCTCTTTGTCAGAAAAGCATGTCATAAAAAATTTGTAAACTCGCAATAATTATGAGCGACGGGAAGTCGAAATCAGAGCAGCGGAACTGGCACGTGTAATCTCTCGAAGACGTTGACAATCATATAAATCATGTGTCCTGCGCTCCTGGAAAACGAAGAGCGATGCTTCGGAGGTATGACTTTTTTTGCGCAAAGTCATCCGGTGGAGGTTTGCGGTAGTAATGGTCTACCGCTTACTCCAAATTCTATAACCATTTATGGGAAATCGCAGTTTTTGAAAACCATTTATCATCCACATCTTTCTCCTTATCTCGACATAATTAGAAGCAAACATGGTAAGCTTCAACGTGTTTGTTTGAAATAAAGTTTTTAAAAACTTAATTTTATAAGTTTTAGTTAAAACTATATTGTTCTTTATAGAGAGAATAGTAGTTGTTTCGGAATATAGTGGAGATCCATTGAGTACCAAGCATGATTTGAATACAGAAGAGATTATCAGAATATCCTTTCAATGTCTCTTGGCGCTACAACATATGAATGAATTAGATCTAGTACATAGGCACTTAAGTCCAGATAATATTCTAATTAAGAAAAATGGTGACATCCAATTGTATAATTATGGATTGTATTATATGACAGATGGAGGAAAAAATGTATCTTTCCCAATTGGGTATTTTCAAGTATTCTCTTATATCAGTATGCTTTTTCATATCTTTATTTGCACACAAGATTGACTCAAATAAGAATTCTGTTTTAGTACTCCAAAATATACAGCGCCAGAAGTATTTCTCACTCCTAGTTTAAGTGGAGTTAAGGTAGATTCTTGGTCTATAGGAATGATTATAGCCGAAAAGTTATTAGGACAATCCATTTGGGCTAGCGTGAAATTGTCCCAATGCCTCAGAAAAGTTTTGAGCTTAATATTATGTGATACTAGCATATTCGAACGTCTTGCCAGAGAAAACAACTGTTTTAACATTTATGAGGTATGATTTTAGCTTCTCATACATTATAATCTTGGCATCACAATGTTGCATACTTCTTTATGTATTTTGTAGAAACTACCAAAGGAACTAAAGGAATTTGTGGATTCATGCTTACAAATTCATCCTGCTAAGCGTAAAACTCCAGAGCAATTACTAAAATTACCAATATTTGCGGAATATTTAAAGAGAAACGCACAGGACAAGGAAGCAAATCTTTATAAAAATGTGATTGTTAGGAAAATGGATGAATTGTATTACTTATGGCAATTGGCTGGTGGAGATATCACTATAGATTTGAAAAAGCAAGGTCTTATTAGATCGAGACCGCCTATATTATCTATTCCAAAGTAATTATCTATCACTTTTGTAGTCACAATAATTAAACACACAAAAAACATATTTCTTAGAATTATATTTCTTATGAATTATATCGAATTCTTTTAGTTTAGTAATATTATTGGGTCAAATGTTCGGCCAGAGAGACACTGCTAGTCTACTTGATGTAAGAGTCGTAAAAGTTCCTCTGGAGACTCTTCGCCAGCGTTTGGCTCACATTCCATTTATAGCAAATTATCCTTGGCTGACAAATCAGTTAGTATCTTTATTTTTCTTTATATTCTTTTTTATTTTTTTCAACAAAACTTACAAATGTGATATATTACAGAATGCGAGTTCAGGCACAGGAAGATCTAACAAATACCGCGTCCCAGTTGCCATTAATTATAAGAGAGCGCGACACGGAATATCAATTTTACAGGCTTGTCTTGTTCGACAGACTCTTACAGGCATATCCACTCACTCAGGAAGCGATTATTGATGAGGCGCACAAAGATATACCGCCTCCAGTTAGAGGTGCTGTTTGGACGACTTTACTCGGTATTACTGGCGATATACAGGAACGTTACGATAGAATCGATAAGGAAACACCTACTCACACCGATCGGCAGGTAAGACTGCTGCATGTAAAAGAGCACTCGACATATAAAATGCGTTTCACTAATAATTTGCCAGATAGAGGTAGATATACCGAGATGTCATCAGTACAGCGAATTACTGTCATCCGGCGCCGGGCATGAAAGACTGCAAAGATTACTGAAAGCGTGGGTTAGAAATAATCCGCATTACGTTTACTGGCAAGGGCTCGATTCTTTGACGGCGCCTTTCCTTTATCTAAATTTTAACAACGAAGGTTAGGTTGAAGGTGTGATTCTTTTGCTATGCATAATTATCTTCTTTAAATCACATTAGGTGTTTTATTTTAGCTCGAGCGTTCGCATGTCTGTCCACCTTTATACCGAAGTATCTGCACAAGTTTTTCTTAAAAGACAACTCAGCAGTAATACAAGAATATCTGGGCAAGTTTTCTCAAATTATTGCGTTTCACGATCCTCAATTGGCGAATCATCTGAAGTCCATAAACTTTGTACCAGAACTCTTTGCCATACCGTGGTTTTTAACAATGTTCTCACGTAAGTTTTACATTAGCAATCGCTTACCATATTGTTGTTTAATAAAAAATATATTTCAGATGTATTTCCGTTGCATAAAATATTGCATCTGTGGGATAAATTATTGCTGGGAGACTCGTCGTTTCCTCTTCTAGTCGGATTGGCAATTTTGAAGCAGCTGCGAGACTCGTTATTAATGTCAGGTTTCAACGAATGCATTCTCCTATTTTCTGACTTGCCTGAAATTGATATAGAATTGTGCGTTAAAGATTCCATGACAATGTATCAAAATACACCTGCTAGTATCACATATAGAAAACATCAATATAATACAGCAAAGGTACACACATATACATATAACAAATATATTTGAGGTTTTAAATATAAAATTGATATAGGATATTCTGATTAATTTGTAGGATATAAATAGGATTGAACCTGAAGTGGGAACCGAAAAAATGCCAAGGATAAGTGTAGACGATTTTTTAAATCTTTACAACAACTCGCCAAGCAAGGTCATAGCGGTCGACGTACGTAGTAATATACAGTGAGTATTTTTTGTACATGCATTATTAAAATTTCTATTAAAACTTTATTTTATTTTATTTTTTTTATCAATAAGTATTTTTTTTACGTGCGTTACTAAACTTTCTATTAATTATAACTATTTTCTTTTTATTAATAATAATCTGTGTCTTTTTTTGCTAATAATAATCTTGTTTTAAAATAGATTTGAAAGAGGTGCTATTCTTGGCAGTATTAATATTCCGTTCACAAGTGTACAACTGTCTCAAACTCACATTGACACACTCGGACCACAGGCAAAACCGTTAGTGGATAATAAAAGCAGCATCGTTGTAATCATCGGACCGCACGATCAAAATAACGCTTTGGTGAGTGATATAAAATTTATCATAGAAAGAAAATTTATCATAGAAACATTACTTCTAAATATATTTTCTAACAGTTTGCAGATTTTCTAGTAAAATGCGGTGTCATAGGAGTCTGCTCTCTGCAAGGTGGAATTAACGCGTTACGATCAAAGTCTCCGAATATCATAGTACCTGTGCGTGCTAATTAAAAACTATGTAAATTATATACTGTACACACACACACACACACACACACACACACATTGTACATACTTAATATTCAGATTTATTAATTTGTAAAGTACAATTGATGTTACATGACTTACATGTACAAAAAATTTTATTATAAAAAAAGATTCAATGCGTTAAATTTAATAGTTAAATCATTTTATCCCCAAAAATATAAAAATATCTTATGTGTGTATATTATGTCTTTTCAGACTGTATAAAGTCTGTATCTTGTAGTTGCCATGGCAATCATTGTCAAAACATTGTTTCCTTCAGAAATCAGACATGTGTGTCACTTATTTGCTTGTGTATAGATTTACTTACAGAATATTACATTGCGCATAAAATAAATATGGAGAATAATATATCATCGGATCTTCGCAAATGGTTGAGAAAATGTTTAAAGAAGGAGTTCGGAAAAACCATACATAGCGCCATAGATAAGGAACAGGGACCCGTCGATATTGCTCACGAAGTTACGCACTCGAGAAACATGATCAGTTTATTGAACTCCATGAAGAAAGTAATTAGCGAACAATATGTATTGACGAAACCCTCATCTGCGATGTCACAATCGCAGTCATCATTGTCTTTCACTAGCGATATCACGGCGGACGATTGGGCTTCTCCTCAAGGAAACGGAGAAGAGTACAATTACGTTATCGACAAAATCAGTCGCGATAAGCCGGTTCATGTGAGACTCGCTGGTTACGAAATTTTATTAAAAATTGATGTGTCCAACATAAATGACAGTCCTCAATGGGACATGCTTGAAAAGATGCTACTGGATGGACTCACGGATGACAGCAGAGCCATATTTGAGGCCAGCATGCGAGTTCATGCCAAATTACTAAATTATCCGCAATTGCACAGTGTTTACGGTAATTTGTTGAACGCGTTCGATACGCAATATCATTCGCAAAAAATGTGCGAGACTCTGCCCACGTTGATTTCCGGAATTAACTTTAAGTTCTTCCTGCACGAAAAACTTTTCTGCATATTGTATTTGACAATTTGCTACCACGAGGAAATGTTGAAAAATACTAAACACAGTGAAAAAACTATGGAAGAAATTATAGAGCAATTTATAACATTTCTTAGTTCACACAGCTTCGGTAAGACACTTCAACCTAAAACCTTAAACATGCTGAATATAATATCTGTATTAGAGCCACAGGCTAAATGGAGCAAGAGGTGGCTTCATAGTCTCTCAACTAGGAGAACTTTCGTTACCGCTTTGGCTAAATCGCCGACGTTGCTTCAGAATGCCATTGAATGTATCAAAAGCGGTTTGAAAACAACACCTTGCGCCTTGACCGCTTGCATTATGGACGAAGGCAACGAATTGTGTATTCCCGGAAACACGATAGAAACCGCAACTTATTTACATTGTGTTGTTTTTGTCTCGCAGCTTTGCAGTTACGAGAATAGCCGAACATTATTTGCCGAAGGTTCATTGAAGACACCGTTTGTTGTCACTGACTTTCTCATCGAATTGACAAAGTCTTTGAACAAGATAGCACCCGACGCACCGAGCGGAGTGTACAATACTTCCTGCAACGCTCTGCAAACTGTACTGAATATATCGGAAACGTTATACAATGCTGAATTCTATCACACTGCATTGTGCCATTTGACGTCTCTATCTGAAAATAATTTAAAAATTTGGTCCCATACGTTAATCATCATTTCTCATATGGCGAACACAATGGACGGCGTGGAATTTTTGATTACAATTTGTAAGGAGCATTCAACGAATTCCGAAAGCGTATCTTCAAAATCTCCGGTCGCGATCATAATGCAATACGCATCGAATTTGTTGAAACAACCATTTTCCATAATGGATATAGAATATATTTCTAATTCGTTCAGCCTCGTGGAAAAATTATTCGACGTATACGACGTTTACGAGGCTGCACAAGAACAGATAGAAATGCAATTCTATCCTGCTGTCGCTAAATTCTACAAAAAATTAAATAAATGTGGCGTTGAAAATGAGAATAAAATACAACCATTAGATAGGTAGTCAAAGTTATTGTCAAATTTTAAACTTCGCAAATCTGAATTTTTAATCTGTCGAATTTTTTTATTTTACAGAGCTGTCAAAAACATTTTACTAAAAATGGTATCGATACCACTCGGGTTGCAGGCTCTTGTCAATGAAAAGTTAGTATTCGAGGAATTGATTCGCGGACTAATTGTTCCTCTGAGAGTAACCTGGAGCTCAACCAATATAGTCAGTTTTATCTCATCAGCCGGCTATTTTGATATCGGTTACAACGTGCTCGCGGATCTCGCACCTCACGTTTTGTCGACTTTGCTGTCGCAAACTTGCGCAAACGCGGAAGATTCTAAATACTTTTACGACCCATGGGATCGAGAAAACGTCGACGAATTTTTACATATACTTGCATTATTCTCTCTTAATTTTAATTGTAAATAATTTCAAATTAAAAATAAATTTCAAATTCTTAGCTGTGTGTACTACTTCGTAAATATTGTCCAATTAAATGATTGAACAGGTTTCGCCGCATTTATGATAACCGAATTGGATAATGACGAGGAAAAGGATTATCCTTTCAATTTGTCCGAATTATTACGTGCTGCGACCAACGAAGATTCAAGCTATCATCATTTAGGTCTTTTATCGTTGAACACAGTAATCTGGAACTTGGATATTTATGCTTACTTACAAAACTTATTAAATTTTCAGGTATAGAGTATACATGTTATTATAAGCTGTGGGAAGAGAGAAAAATAGTTATAATTATAAAATAAAAGTTTTTAGGAGTCATTGTTAGATATACAGAAAATGAGTACGATTCTAATTGACGCTTGCAAGGAACAAGACTGCGATGAAAGGGATTCGGAGAAAAGTATAACAGAAAATGATGACGATAAGCAGGAACCAACAAAGGAATACATAATTGATAATTCCAGTTTCTTGCGACATAATATTTTATTGAAATCATATTATTTGACATTCAAAAGGTATCAGCGTGAAATACCGTTGGAAGAATGTGAACTGTTTTCAGAATTTCCACCTCCTAGAATATACGCAGACATGTTAACAAATCCCTTGAACGCGGACTGCGATTCAGAATTGAGTAACATGTTGCAAGAGGAGAGACCGGGTTTGTTAGATATTAGTTGGGTGTCGCAAGTTAGGGCAGCTCATAAAGAGTCGCGAGGTCCGATAAAGGTAATTTATATAATTCTCTTTACGCAATTCTCATTAATTAAATCATCTAAAGCAAAACTTTTTTCTCACAGAATTCAACAATGATAAATTTATTAAATCAAATGCACAAAGCCGTTCCAACTGCGGAATGGGTGGAGCACTTTGAGTGGCAGGAGAATATAACGTATGACGCGGATTATTGGCTGCCGGAAGACACGCAGGCAATTAATATCACGTTAAAATATGCCGAACAATTAAAAATATTAAAGAATAATAATGAAAACCAGAAACATTTGAAACAATTTATACATTCCGCTTACATATTCATACAATACAACAAACCGAGTAAATTCGAAGGTTTTGACTGGTTTTTAGGAACAGTGTTTCTTATTTGTGATGGAGATCTAGATAAGTATGTAAATTTAATAAATTTTCTCAATTAAGTTTTCTAAAATGATCGCGTCTATTAAAGAAACAAATTTAGGCCTCAGCTGACCGCGAATTAATCTCGACTATAATATTCGGTATGATCTTGCTAGTGGCAATACTTCCTCGTTCAAGTCACTAGCTCTGTATTCATAAGCTACGTTTTAACCTGAGAATCGGTTTGATTATTTCAAATCTCTAGCTTGAAACCAATTCTAAAATTGAATCACAACCATGAACACAGAGCTCCTTCATGAATTTTCTCATCAAAAAATCAAGAATGAACTAAACGAGCGTGTTGTCAATAGAGATTAACTCAAGCTAGTCACATATCATCATTGGCCAACGAGAGTCTCAGATTGAAAACTTAACTCTCATATGGTTGATCTTTTTTTTTTTTTCATCAACCATCGAAGTTTTTCTCACATCATCGACTCATATATATCACTAAATATACTTAATAATTACAGATGTAAAACATTTATAATGCAATTAATTCAATTTCCAACGACATTGCTGCTCTGGCCAAAACTAGGCAAAGTTATTAATGAAAAAAATAACGAAAACACTAGTTTGCAATTCACGTTCATGCAAGTTTTAGAATCTATGGTTAATATTGAACTTCCAAACATTAAATATGGATTAAAGGTAATGAAATTTTACAATTTAAATTCTCTATCTAAAAATATAACATTCTGATTAAAATATGTAACAAGGATGTCTGTGGCGTGGATTGGTGGATGATATTCAATAGAATGATATCTCAATGCTTCTGGAGTATACTTCCGTGGAGAGAAATAGCTCACTTTTTCGCAATTTGTATTTTATATCCGCCGGATTATATGGTATATTATAGTGTGTCACTCTTGCAATACTGTCAGAATACTCTACTGGAAGATTTAACAAACGGAAAAATGTGGCCGGAAAATATGGTATACGAAATAGAGTATCTATAGATCTATTTACATATCCAGGATGTTTCAGCAAGTATGTACGCTTGAAAATCGCTATATCTTTTGAATAACTGATCAGATTGTCACTTTTGCAAACTTTGCAGAAACATTACTCTTGAGATGACATTTTTTTCTTACAAGTTTCAAAGTCATTCAAGGTCACTTCGGTTTTTGCTGATTTCACGGTTATGACAAACTTTCAAGGTCATTTGAATGTTATGCTGAATCTTGCAAAGTCTCTTCAGTCCAATCAGTTATTTCTCATTGCTGAAAATTCACGGCAAGCAGGAAATTGATTGCTAAAAACGATTTTTGTAATATTTTCAAATTTCCTGCTTGCCGTGAATTTCCAGCAATGAAGAATGTTTGAGACATCAGAAATAACCTATTGGATTCAAGAGACTTTGCAAGACTCAGCATAACATTTATATGACCTTGGAAGTTTGTCATAACTATAAAATCAGCAAAAACCGAAATGACCTTGAATGACCTTGAAACTTGTAAGAAAAAAATGTCATCTCAAGAGTAATGTTTCTGCAAAGTTTAGTGACAATCTGATCAGTTATTCAAAAGATATAGCGATTTTCGAGTGTACAAACTTGCTGAAACATCCTGTATTTAACATACCCGTAAATCTTCACTCAATTATCAATAACAAATTATTAAATGAACTTTTTTAGATTCTTGATGAGTATTGCTGTCATACTTACATTTCGTACATGGATAATTTGAGTCAACGATACAGAAATAGGATTTTACCCGCGATGACAAAAAATTTGAATTCAGAAGATGAAATATAAATATATTTATATTATACATAATACACACACACACACATACAAAATGTATTACATACCATATCCAGATTTTACTGTAAAAAAAAGAAGATACATATTATACAAAATGATAGAAAAAAAAGGTAAACTTTTACTTGTGCAAAAGAAAAATAGTTTATAGATTCTTTACATACTAAATTAATTGTATATCAATAAAAACGATATATTATGTAACAAATAACGATTGTACTACACTTAATAAAACAATGATTTTTTATTTCTTACATAAATGCACTCCGAGTTAGCATTAGCTGTAATAAACATTTGTGTATTGTAAAGTATGTGTACAAGAAAGTTTTATAAACATAAAATGTATTAAAAACATCATCTTCACATGTACAACACAAAATAATGCTGATATGATAAATTTGCAACTAATATGATAAATTTACATATCTGCAGAATTCAACAATGTCACTTACGAGGTTGTCCAATATTGACACTATCCCAGATATGGAAGTGATAGCTTTTTATATACGACAATCTTGTAATATTGTCATTCACTCTTATTTATTAACCAAATATAAATTATTCATCGTGAATTGCAAATAATTTTGCTACTTCATTTAAATCGTCATACTTTGTGTCCGCTGTAAGAACCTAAATTTATACAAAATATGTATTAGAATCTTGGAAAAAATAAAATTAATATCGGTTAAAACTTGTAAAAGTTATTTGCAATAAATTGTAACAGAAATAGGACAAATTATTGATAACAAACTCACTCGTCTAGCAATTGACATTCGATTAAAAATATTCCACAGTAATATTCCTACTACAGTGCCATCTCGTAGATAGAAAATAACGCCTTTTCTAAAATTTTCAGGCTCTATAGATTGCTCTTCTAATTGTCCATCTTTAGGTATTTCTTTCTTTTCTGATTTTTCATCATCTTTAGCTATTTCTTTATTTTCTTCTGTACTTTTATTGTCATTATTCTTTGTCTTTTGTGACATCGATGACTCTAATTTTACGTTAGATTGTAATTCTTTGGGATTTAGATTTTGTTCCTAAAAAAATATAAAATGTGTAAAACAATATCAGTTCAATACACTTCTTTATAAGAATTACTTACTTTAATAGGATTAAAGTTTGCTTCTGCAAAGACTCCAACAGTTGGTAAAGACGAATCTACGATACCTATAGCTTCATATCCCACATCAGGTCCCAAATCTGACCAAAACATTGATTGATGCAAATACGGTTTACCTATTCGAAACAAAATTTACTTGTTTTTTTTTTCAAATTTCGTTTTCGCGACTTTAACATACTTTGTAAATATTAACCTGCACCAGTCATGTTCTCGCCAGCTAATCTTCCAGAGGTAACGGCATGGTCATGATGTTCAACTCTTCTTCTACCTAGTTTAACATCGTAGAAACATGCCGCATCACCAGCGACCCACACGTTACTTCTCGCTTCCAATTCGGCGTTAACAAGATATCCTCCTATATTAGGATCTGTCTCCAAATGAGAAGTAGTTGCCAAATCTGTATTCGGTTGAACACCTACCGCTACTACCACTTGATCAGTGTTGATCTGTTTTATTAAAAAAAAAAAAAATTGCAGACTTTTAATAAATAAGAATTCTTTACTTAATTGCAAAATGAGAACTTGCGAACGTACAATCTGACCATCGGTGAGAACAAGAGACAATTGGCCGTCCTTGTATCTGTAATCTTGCACTTCGGCATTACGAATAGAATAAACACCTTCCGTTTCAGCCTTTCTTGTGGTCCACTTGCTCAAATATTCTGGTAATACTTGCGCCATTATAGAGTTCTCTTTATAAATTTGAACTATCTTTTTAGATTTAGCATCTAAAAATATATATACATTATATATTATTAATAAAATATATTTTCTTGATACATCGACTATATCTGTTAAATAAAAATCTTACAATTTCTAGCGAGCGTGCAGGCAATTTCTGAACCAAGAAATCCACCGCCAATTACCACGATATTTTTGCACTTAGGATTAGAGACAATCTCTTGCAGATCGAGAAAATCATCTTTTGTTCTAAATGTTGTAATTTTCGTTTTTACTTCATATTCAGCGGATTCAAATATTGGCAGACTTTTCGGTGATGCACCTACAGATAATTTATACAATAATTTAATTTAAAATTAAGTTTTTTATTTTTATTACAATTTAATAAAACTTACCAGTTGCAATAAGACATTTGTTATATTTAATTTCATGACCATCATCAAGAATTGCAGTTTTGTTTACAACATCGAGCTTGATCACTTTCCAACCCATAGCTACAGCTACTCCACCCTTATCAGATTCATTAAGATGAGCAACATTCGAATAGAACTCGCGTGGTTCGTAGAATATACTATGAAATAAAAATTCTAATTTTTATACTTGCAAATAAACAATCTAACTCAATGACGCTTACACAATATAGAAAAATTTATAGCAAAATTTACCTTCTTTGAGTTCCGTTCCATTGATTAAAACGTAATTGTGCAGTTGTTTCTTTGTCTGTATTGTCCCAGAGTTCTTTAGATAACGGCGGCCTCATATATGGAAAATCTGTTTCTTCTGCTACAACTAGAACCTGAAAATAAAGTCTTCTTTGTGCATTCTAATTGAAAGAGAAAATACTCTCACACCTTTTGTCTCACACTGATGTACCTTAGCTTTGGCATCCCTAGACTTAATTGATCTAAATGCTGCAAATGCTGCCGTGCCTCCTCCTATTAGCAAATATGGTACTTCCTGAGGTATTAATTTAGAATCTTCTGGAATTTTAACTTTCTTTCTAAACTTTCTGAGTTTTGTTGTGTCTTTTGTTTCTAAACTCACAAAAAGGTATTAATAGAATATATAACATCTATATAGTGTAAAGTAAATTTTTTAATTTATAGTGTAAAATAAATTCTTTAATTAATATTTACTTTTGTCTTTTTGTTGAAACTCATATTTCCAAAAAGGTACCTATAAAAAATATTTAAAAAATTAATCAAAAAACAAGTTTAAAGAAAATTTGTGCACACACATGTACGTGTGTGTGTAACTACAAATCTTGTACATAACTACAAATTGAAAGTCTTAACACACCTACATATTAACTTAAAAATAGTAACAGGGTAAAAAAAAAAAAAGAAAAATTAAGTCAAAACTTATTCACTAAATAACACTAGAACTACTGACCAGTCAAAATGAATATCTTAGATTTTTATTTAAAACTTACTCAAATTTATGATATTGCATTTCAAAAATTTTTTATGACTTTTGTGCAATATATAAAGAATTAAGTTTATCAATTTGTCCTTAAAAATTTCTACAATGCAAAGCCATTAATTTGAGTAATTTTTAAATAAAAAGTTACCACCAGTCATTTTGACTACTTCAGTAGTTCTAGTGATAATAAACAAATTACTCATTATCAGCATGTAAACTTAATACCAATGACTATTTCCAACTGTTAAATCACAGCCACAAGTACAAGCAAAACTTAATTGATTGATCAATTAATTATATTTAAAAGAGTTTATAATAAAATAAATTATAAGAGAATAAATTATAATCAAATTCTAGCAGCATTCAATATTATACTTAGACCATTTTAAATTCATCTTAAGATACAGACTATTTCATTAGCTATAAAACATGAAGATGAGCTTAAACATAAAATAATATTTAATATAAGATCTATGAATACCTTTAGCTTTAATTATAACAATTTTGATATATTACCTTATATCCTGCTACTCCTGTTACAATCAAGACTGCAAGTAAATGCCAATAACGAAATTTATATTTCCCATTTTTCCCATTTTTTCCAAAACTTGAATCCTTTTCGTTTTGTGATTTTTGTTCTCCATTTCCTTTGCATATATCATATGCTGGGCAAGATCCATCTGGTTGTGCCTCACAAGGAGGAATGGCTTTCTGCGACTTAGAATATTTAGATTCAAATGTACAGTCCTCTGGTTTGATAGTGGTACCCGTTGATTTGTGAGGCTTTTTATTACTGGCATCGCTACTATAGCGCAAGTTACTAATATTTACAACTCCTGTAAATGGTTTTAGTAAGCCAGGAAATACTTATTGATGAAATGTCACAAAAAAGACAATATATATATATTCTTTAACAAGATACGAGAGAATGATGCAATACGAATGCATAACGTAACAATAGTAACTAATCATAATATAATTAAAAACGTCTGTAAAAGTGTATTAAAAACAAACAGAAAAAGAAACGTGCATTTCTTTAGGAAACGTGCATTTCTTTAGGTTAGGTTGTGTCACTCTCCGCCTACTTCAGGTCGCATGCGGAAAATGGTAAACATAGCCTATCTGATCCAAATATATAAATTATTGTAAATACGCACACAATATACACATCTGCTTACAAGCAGAATACAGATGTACAAAAATGAGAATTTTCTTTCACACAAAGGCAAATTTAGAAAAACAGATGAAAAAACAATACTGATCTTCTAACCGATGCCTAAATGACTGAGAGACGGAAATAGACAAGAGAAAAGAAAAATATCCACTATTTCGCAAGTGTACGTACCGATATATTTTATAGACAGATAGGAGCGATTCGCGTGCGTGATCCCGGTGAGTAATCGACCGATAGCTCTGCTACAGGCAAACATCTTCGCCAAACCGGCTGACTTTATGCAATTTGATGTTGGGCGCGCGTTTCCTTAGCTGCTGCTATATAGTGCTATATCGTGATCACCTGCTGCCCGAGTTGTTGCTTTTGCCCTTGACCGGAAGGACGCTCGCCGGAAGGATATTCGTCGCGCGATAGGCCATTACAGGGATTATCCCTGGTTATTTTCTAATTGCGTCGTTCTTTCGCCGATAACGCACGATTCCGTCGACACGGCGACGTGAGCAAGACACGTGAATTTAATAAAAGTTTGCTTCGCCGTGTTGCGTACGCACAATATAATGTGTCGCGGACAAGTCGACGTCACGTTGGAAGTCGCACAGTACAGCCAATTCTACAAATGGATAACTCCAGAATCTCTGTAAAACGAAAAAAAATATGTAAATAGATCACTAAAGGCCTGGTTTATGCGGGCAATAACTGTTGACTTATGCCGGAACCGGTAGAGTTTAACTATAGGATTTCAATGCTTCTGTTTATACAAAATTGCCGAATGCGCATAAACAGAAGTATTGAAATCCTATAGTTAAACTCTACTTTAATTTCAACAAATGTCTTAGTGATCTATTTACATAATATTTTTATATTTAAAATTTTTTTTGAATATTTTTATATTCAAAATTTCTTTTCTCCTTAAACCTTTTTTTTCTTTTCTCTCTTTCCATATCTTTACTAGAATCCTACCCTTTTTCTTTTGTAACTTATCATTTATAAATTCTTTTTAATCTTTCCCTCTTGTCTTTATCTAAGTTTATAAACCATTCTTTAATTAGACATTTTGTTGAAATTAAAATTTTACTTTCAAAAGAAATTTTAAAAAATATAAATTTGGTTTTGAATTGTTTTTACTTTGGGCTGTGTTCAGTTAAGCAAGATGGAACGAACTAATGGAGGAAATGCAGGAAATACAGGAATTGGAACTAATGAATTCCTGTATTTCCTGCATTTCCT